TTTGTGACGAGGACCCATTTATTATTTAATTACTTTTATTTAGAAATCCTTTATATTTATAATAAATATAAATATCTTTAGTTTTAATTATATTAAAGTTTAAAATTTTATTATTTTTAAATTTCTTATTTATTAGCTAAGTAGTAAGAGTATTAATACTCTTTTTATTTTTAGGTTTTTTTTAAAAAATAACTTAATCCTTCCTTATTATTAAAGTAAATTTTATATATATTATTATAATATACTATTTAACTAAGATATTTATAATTTATAATAAATATTATTATATTAATATTCTTTTTATTTTATAATTTTAAAATAACTAATTATTTTTTATTATTATTTTTTTTAAAACTATAATAGTATTTTTTAATATATCCCTTTTTCTTATAGTTATAGTATTTAATATTTTACTTATTTTATTTCTTTTAGTTAATAATATTAAGGTTTATTAATTTAGGTTTTTTATTATTATATATTATAAAGTTATACTTTTTTTTATAATTTACTATATTTCCTTATTAAAATATTTTTTAATTACTATATTTTTTTATACTTTATTCCTTTTATTATTTATATAATTAATTATTAATTTAAATAGCTTTCTTAAAAAAAGCTTTAAATATTTTAAAGAGTTTATTTTATATAAGTTTATCTTTTACTTTAAATTTTAGCCCTTAATAATAAAAGACTTTTTTTAATATATTATTTATATTTATTTTAGTATTAATTTAAATAAATTCTATAATAAACTTTAAGTATAACCCTTTTTACTTAAGGTTAAGGAGCTAATTCTTAGCTTTCTTTTTTTTATTTATAGCTTTAAAAATATCTTTAACTTATTATTTAAAGTGCTTATAGCTATTATATATTACTATAATATTTACCTTATATATATTAATATTATTAATAATAGCTTTAAAATCCTATTAATAAAATTTAAATTAATCTTTAATAGCTTTTTTTAATTAAAAAGCAGTAATTTATACTTTTATTTTATTTATTAAAATAGTTATAAAAAAGTACTTAAAGTATATTTTTATATTTATAAAAAATACTTTAATCTTTTTTATATTTTTATTATATATAGCTAGTATTAATAGCTTAATAATCTCTTTAAGTTATTTCTTTTAATATAAAGCTAATATATTAATAACTAGTAATACTTATTAATTTAATTAAGCTTTTAAAGCTATAATTATATTCTGCTATTAGGCTTATTCTTAAGTTAATTATTAAATTAAGTTTTTAAAAGTTATAAGTTATTAAAATACTATATTTTTTATTATATTTTAAGTAGTATTATTAAGTTTTATATTTCTTAAAGTTATTATATTAACTTATTATAGTTACTTATTTTTATTTTAAAATAACACTTTTTTAATTAATATTACCTTAAGAGTTTAAAGTAACTTTTTAAATAAGAGTTATTATTATATAATAAACTAAGTTCTTATAGTTAATAAGAATACTATTTTTTAAAAAATAAACTATTTAAGTAAATAGCTTTAATAAAAGGGCTATTTAAGTTTATACTAGTAAAGAGTTAAGTTAGTACTTAAGGCATATATAATTATATAGCTAGTTAATATACTTATATAGTAAATATCTAGGTTTTAATTTATTTATATTATAAATACTATTAAGTATAATAATAACTAGCTATTTAAACTATTTAAATAAGTAATATAAATATAACTTATATATCTAGTTATTTTAATATCTTTAATATACTTAATTATTAAGTTTATTAAGTTATTTTTAATATACTTAATAGTTAATTTTATTAAGTAGCTTTTAATTAGCTAAATAGTTTAATATTTATTTAGTGCTATTTACTAAGGGTGGCTTATTATTATAACTATAAGGCTAGGTTATAATATAATATTATTATTATTATACTATTTACTATACTTTATATTATAAAAAAATACTATATTAGTAAAAAAACCCTTCTTAATAAAGCCCCTGCCTTATTTTATTTATAGTTTAAATATTAGTATTACTTTAGTAATATATATTTTAATTATTATAATTAATTATTATATACTAATACTTTATAACTATTATACTTTATAAAATTTACTACTTTTAATAAACTACTTAATTTCTTATACTTAAAGCGCTATTTATATACTTTATTAAAAATACTATTTATAAAGCCAGTCTTTATAAATACCTTAAAATATATTTTAATACTTTTAGCGCTTTATAAAAGGCTATAAAAATACTTTTAATTAAACTTTTTTAAAGTATAATATTTATTTTATATTATTACCTTATATTAATATTCTTTTAGTAATTAATCTTTATACTATTTATACTTAATATATTATTATTATATTAAAGGATATTTATTTTTTATAATTACTTTTATAAATTATTATTTTAAAGTATATACTTCTTAATAATTTAAACTAAATTTAATTTATAATAAATATAAGATTTAGGCGCTAAAAGAGAAAGATAGTAAATTATATTTAAGTAATTATTTTTTTTTAATACTTATAATAGTAGTTTAGTAGTATTTATAATTATTATATATAATTAATATATTTTATAAGCAGCTAGTGCTTATTAAGTACTTAAATATATCTCTTTCTTTTTTAGGCTGCTTATAAGCAGCCTAATTTTATTATAGCTTATCTTTAGGCAGCCTATTCTTATCCTTAGGCTAATTAAGCAGCCTATATAGGTTGCGCCTGCCTATTAGGCAGCCTATAGGACCCACGGGCTAGGTAATTGCAGCTTTAATTCTTACGCCTAGGTTAAGCAAATCGCCCAGGTTCTATAATATAGAAACAACTTAATTATAAACACCTGGAGAACTTAAAAGCAAATTGGAGTAGTCTTAATCATGCGGTTTATCGTCAGTCTTATAGCTTGAGAGATGTGGCCCAATCAGGGGCGGCTGGGTTAGTTGTCACGCAGCGTTAATTAGTGATAACTGCATAACTATAATGGGTCTACCCAATACGAGTTCAAGACGGTGTGTTGAGGTAGACAACTCTCGCGGATCACTAACTATAAAAACCTGGCTGTAAAGCTTGACGTCATTCAAACTGCAAACTTTATGAAATCTCAAAATAAAATGGGTCCTGGACATCAGTTCTCTTCTGTTTCGCCTAGGCCGTTCGTAAATCCTGCCTTTACCAACTGTACAACCTTGGTTACAACACAACTACGCTCAACTCGGACTTGCCTTGGCCAAACCTGTATGCCGAGTACTCCAAAGTAAGCACCTGCTATCAGAAGCTAGATTGGGGTCATCTCACGCGAGGCAATGCAACGTTGCTCATTGGTGGTTGCTGGGTGGGCCTATATACCGGAGTTCACGACATCCAGAGCTTACATGTCAAACACAGCATATCAGGCTTGGCAAAGGCGCTCTTGGCTCTGGATGTTCCCTTGGTCGTGAACTCTACAACAGAGAGTATGTGGGGGCTTCTTATTGCTGAGCTTTGGGAAGCCTTACCCCTGCATTGAGCGAATTGAACGCACTGTCAATGCTTGGGGCAACACGCGCGTCGTTGTAGCTGTGGAGGCCGTAGGGCGGAATGACTTAATTATTACTACAATCCCCAACCGATCTGTGCTTAGCTTTCTGGCAATGGCTGCTCTCACAGACGGCTACATGTCTTTGTTGTGAATGTCTCTGGGGGCTTTACAAGCAACAATCGGAGGCGGGCGTTCCTCCTCCTCCGGACAACTCAAGCCGGCATCAGTCCGGTTATTCATGGAATACCTTCAAAATCCATGATGTGACCATCTATTGTATCTTCAACTTGATGTATCTCATCCCACGAGAAGGTTATGCACATGTGGCATTGGGCGGGAGTTGATACTACATCCCTCCCCCCTTTCCCGCCCCCAAGGAGCGATAAGTCTGCTTCCTTGCAATTATGCACCTTCGAAAGCATGCGAAACCACCCCAAAGTTCACTTTTGTGATACTGCCGTTTGATGGATTAGATGAGATGGTCAAAATCCCATTCAGACGTAACGAGAGGCCATGTCGCTGCTGGAGCGGCCTCACCAAACGTCAATGGCAGGCCAACAAAAACCGAGAATCGTGAAACAGAACAACGCCAACGTACCTACGAGCGTTTGAGTCGTGCGCCCTGAACTCCACGTCACAGAACAACGGGCGAAAAGGAAGTCTCCGCCTCTGAGTTAAAACGATGCAATATCACCTTCAATCACACCTATGGTTTCACGATATCTTTCTGCTATTACCTCTGAAGCAGGAGTGACGCTTTTTCCGTTGATATGACGTCGCCGAAACATTGCGAAGGGGATTTTTTGAGGAGACTCGTCACGACTGATATTGAAAACGCTGTCATGATGTACCAGCTACCTGCTCGTCGGCTATGCTCATTATATAGCATTGATAGGACAAGGTACAACGACGACGTTGCTGGAGTTAAAGAGTCAAGTCGTCTATTATTGACTTCCAAAAGGGAACTTCCCCGAAAAACTACTTACTTCTCGTTCTCTCTTTGCCATGATGGAACTAGGGGCTCCCCTATATCTGAGGTTCCAACCTTCTTCTTTTACTTTAGCTCTGGCGGCTATCTCTCGCATCCCCGAAGTCATAAGCTTTGCTCATACACTCTTCCTTGGTATTTCAACAGACCTCTAGAAATTGGTACACCCGCTCCAGTCACCTCACAATTTCCAGAATTCACACTATGCTCCCTGTAGTAGAAGGAGATAAAGGTTGTCTACAAATGAGCCGTTGAGAGATGCAGGAGGTGATATTTTAGCCCATGACGTTAGGACGTTAGACTACAACTTTACTCGCGTCAAATGCCAAGCATCTTGAAGTCTCACGAATTAGAAAGGCTGGAGTTGTACCGAATGCTCCGCGTATCATAAAGTCTCACCAACTTCCGATTGAGGTTTTGTTGACTAATCGAAGCAAGCTGATATGCCGTTTTGATCGAAAGAGACTGATAGATCCCTCATGGCGGCGTTTTCAGCAAGCATCAAAAGTACACATGTGCTTGATGAGTGCTTCCTTCATCATACACATGGGTCGTTCTCCTTCGTCCCAAAGCAGCCACTACGCTGTGAATGACATCATGCGCAGGTTTGTATTTAATCATGCCGATGTGCGCTACCACAGCAGCACTGGAAGCTTCGGAACCTGCAGTAGGTAGTCTCAACCTTCCCCTAGTTCCCCCCATCGGCCGGGCGTGCTTAGCTGTCGATCGAAGCAGCATAAAGACCCGGATTCGCCAGCATGGCCTGCTCAGAGTAGGATAGTATAAGACTGGAAAAGACGCGAATGCTGTTTGACCGACTGGAAACGATCAGCAATTACCGGAACCTCGCATTACCACTGCACATTATACCAGCCCTTAGTTGAGAACTTCTCGTTATGGTTGTTCTTATCACAGGAAGCACCGGCTACCTCGGCGGCCAGTTGGTCAAGGAAGCAATTACACGTGGTCACAGCGTCCGCGCCGTCGTGAGAACAGAAACCTCCTTCAGGAGACTCGTTGACCAGTTCCCTCTTTACGCATTCAAGCTCTCGCATGTTGTTGTAACAGACCTCACCAAGCCGGAGTCATTTCAAAGGGCGTTCGAAAACGTTACCGGCGTCGTCCATGCCGCTTCTCCCTTTAATCTTGAGCCAAAGAACAATGAGGAAGATCTGCTCAAACCTGCTATTAAAGGATCGGTAGCCATACTTGATGCCGCCTTGCGTTATGGAAAGGACGTCAAGCGCATTGTTGTCACGTCGTCTCACGCCTCTGTCGCGGATGTTACCAAAGGGAAACGAGTCGGCTACGTGTACAACGAAAAGGACTGGAATCCAATCTCTTACCAACAGGCCGCTGACCCATCCACCGACGGCGTCACTGCATATTGTGCTTCAAAGGCCTTGGCCGAGCGCGCCGTTTGGAAATGGGTGGAGGATCACCCCGACGCACCATTCGACGTTGTCACGATAACTCCGCCGTGGATCTTTGGCCCCTATGCCACGAAACTGACCTCCACGAAGCACCTTAGCGAAAGCATCCGCCTTATTTACAATCTTTTAGGTGCCACGGAAATTCCAGAGTTTGACTTTGGCGGATATGCGGATGTTCGCGAGGTCAGTGCGGCCCATTTACTTGCCCTCGAAGTGCCGGCTGCAGGTGGAGAGCGCTTCTGGGTTGGACAGCCTCTCCGCTGGCAGGCTGTGGTGGACATCGGGAGGGAAGAATTTCCGGAGTTAAGATCTCGACTCCCAGTCGGGAGGCCAGGGTGGACGGAAGAAGCCTACGGCGTGGATGGTAGCAAAGCAGAACAGGTCTTGGGTCTAAGATATTTGACAATGAGGGACACTATCAAGGACACCTTTGCCCAGCTGCTTTCGGCTGAACGAGCTGAGGCCGCGGCTGCATAAGTTATCTGTACGCTCTGATGAGAAGCAGTGCTCCGATCTTAAGAGTATCTATTGCTTGAAATGCACCGCCAGTACCCCTGAAATCCATATAAGTAGCGTAATGTGTGATATACGAGCTCCAAACCACTCGTTGCCATCCAGCTCATCTTCAATGGGTGTTCGACGAGTAAATGTGAAACGCATGTATTCAGACAATATGTTCTTTACTCAACCGTGAAGCCCGCGAAGGACATCTTGGCTGATATATATGACACATCACCCTCGCAAAACCCCTATATACTATCAGATGCTTCCTTTAAATGCATCTTCATGCTCCTGGCAGAAGAAAGCATCGCGTGCTCTGTCGGCAATATATGGCTTTGTGTCTTTAGATGCCCTAAACGTCAGAAGATGGCCAATACCTAGTACTGCCAGTATATCCATACATCTGCAGGCTCCCCTTTTGGAGTCCTCAGGTCTGCTTACCTCGGCACATGGAGGCATTCTTGAAGAGTACCTTGTTTCCCAAATTTTATCGTCCTCCCCTTGGTGACGTGAGTCCATCATGTTCGTTTGCCTCTTCCTATGGCTGCGATGCGCATCGTTGGCGGTCATGTGCAGGAATTTGTGTTAGAGTAACACGTCGCAACTTATTGTCAGCAACTTCTCGGCAATAACAAACACCTTTATATGATAAGTTCATAAAATGCCTCGGTAATGCATTTTTTAAATTGGTGTGAGCGCTCGGCAGTTATGAGGATGATACCGCGACTTGGACCAAATTCTAAAAAGGAGCGACCTTGGAAAACTCCCTAGAGCCTCAGGACAGACTACCCTTATGTGGCGCAAAGATGGTTAACATGAAAAGTCTTGTTTCAGCCCGCTCGTTGTTGGGAGAAAGGGTGGAAAGTCTCTATGAAGCATCGTAAAATTGCATAGAGAGGAAGAAAGCAGTCCTCTATTATATGTGCTGGCCGTATTATCACAGGTCCGTCTCAACAAGAACAACTCCATGCCAAAATACGATCAACAACTGTAACCCGATAATCATGCGTTCTCCTTTCTAGTCCTTGTGTGAGATAAAACCGAGGGTATCCTCTGGGCGAGTATTCATAGTCCCGGACTATGATATCCTCCAATCGCGGCAATTCATATGCAAGACCCGACAAACTTTCCCCTTGACAGGAATATCGTCTGCTTGGCTTCATGTGCTAGTACCTAGAAGGTGCATAATACCGACTGGCTCTCTCGCGTCTTCTATACTACCTGACTAGCAGGCACAGGGAAAGCCCCCTCGGTTATATTGCGGCTCACCAAATGCGGAGATATTTTGGGCTTGCCGGAAGCGCTATGCCATTTTGGGATTATAAACTGCCGGCTCAGTCACGTGATACTCTCATCTCCCAGCCTCCTTGCCATTCTCCACTTCAACGCGCGCATTTCTGCTTCACCGTCACCTTCATGATTTGCTATCGTCGTTGCCATCAAAGGAGTCTGCTGAGCGCTCTAGGCCAGCTGTCCGGATTTCTACCCACTGGACGAGATACTTGTTCTCCTCTTGTGGAAGACCCGGGGTCTAGAGAAGGGGCTTGCTTCAGCTCGCAGGTTTTCTGGAGCTTTAAACAGGTCGCCTGTCTGCGAAGCTTTCTCCTTTGAGTGTGTTCTGCCTCATCTCTTGCCATCGCCCCGTTCGCGTCTTTGGAGACGGGTTGTTGCTATCGCGCTCTTGGCCAGCTGCCCAGCTCTCTATCCACTGGATGGGATTTCCTCCCCTTCTTTGGAAGACCTGGGGCCTTGGGAAGGGACTTGCCTGAGCTCGCAGGTTCTTCTGGAGCTCATTGCAAGTCGCCTGTCTGCGTAACTCGCCTTATCCACTGCGTGTCATCTCTTTAAATCTGGTATGTTGGATCCTGCGCATTTCACTTACGTAGCATGCCGCGAACCAATTTCGAACGAACCAATTCCGAACGTACAATGTCGACGCTCCCGTGTCTTGATTTCGACGTGAAGACGCCCGCTTGCATCGAGTGGAGATCGAATGACGCGACGCAATGGTTGGTCGATCCGGATCCCCAAAGAGATCATTTGATGTTGGAGAGCCGCTTCTGCAATGAGACCTCTTCAGCATCATTTCAGCTGCTTTGCCCCATTCGAGTGAAAGGAATCGAGTCTCAATCACACATTATCTGTCTGATCCATACATCCTCTATCACTTCGTTCGACTTCGAAGAGAACCCAGAGCTCCCGGACCCTGTACGAAAGAAACTCAACTGTAAAGCTATTCGTTTACATCTCGAATCCTGTCAGCCTCTCGATTTCATTGTTCCGGCTGCGGCGACAGAACCGGTACAACCAAGGAAACGACTATCTGGCCAAGCGTTCGATTCTCTACGCTCGCTAGCCAAAGCATCTTCTCTCGACATCTATATTTCGGCTCGAGAGGTCTCCCAGATTAAGCTTAGGGCGGTTTGTGAAGCCATTTCTCGGGGTGTTATGAAACCATTCCATACCGACATTCCCGCCTTGTTGGCGTCACTCTATGGCAGCAGTGGGGGAAAAATCGTCAACCTCCCGCCGCTGCGGAAAAATTCGTCCGAATCGCCAAACGATGAGCCTCCGTCATATGCGGATCTAGAACCTCCGCCCCCTCCGGATGATTGTCTTCTTCCACAGCCCAAACTCAAATCGCCGCTTGCCGATACTACGGCCACGGCCGGCGGCAGCAATACGAAGCGACGCCGACTGAATGATTCGGGGACCTCATCCGACGCTGATTGCTATCGTGACATATTGGATACACTATGTCATATGCGCGAGGGAATGCAGAGGCTGATGGAGCGAGTTGAGCAACTCGAGAAAGAGAACCAAGACCTAAGAGAGGAACTTGATGACTTGCGCGCCAGCTGTGAAAAGGCTACTGATGCTATCGAGTCTGACGAGGCGGCCTTCCTTGAGGTGCACGAAGAACTTGATGAACTGAAAGTCCAGGTCGATTTTCTCTCTCAGGGCGGATTGTACAGTGATGCTGAAGAACACCTTGTTGAAGCGGTCACGGATTCTGTTCTCACGCATATGCTAGATGGAGGATATAATGCCAAGATAACGATCGAAAAGAGCTAAAATTCACTTGCTTTGTGCCTTTGCTCTGAAATTTTGTCGGCACATTATGAGAACCGCCTGAATCCGTCTCATTCAAAAAACAACAGCAATGTGGTATCTACAGACGGACGCGTGTTTGGTGAAACAACTGGTGCAACTTCCTGTCATCGAAATAGAATGCAACCATGGCAGTCCATTTTGCCTCCCAGTGCATAACCGCTTTGTTTGTCACAAGACAAGTTGCACATACAGGTGTGGCTCTTGCGATTCTCACCAAAGGAAAGCTCGAAGCTATGTCGCAACGCATCAAGTCAGCTTCACCGTAACAACTCCCTTGCTGGGCACAGATACTGTGATGGCGCCGCCAGAGAGTCCTGCCGACGTGGTTGAGAAGGTGTGACTGTTGTCAGTCACATACGCAGCAGCGGACGTTGGCGTGAAGCCGCTGAATGACACTCTAGCCGACTGTGCCGACGTCCCGCTGTTTGTGAAGACGACGACGATGGAGCGATCCGTGTTCTGGAAGGCACCGATAATGACGTTGGATAAGGATCCTGAAGTTGCTACTCTGGAAGCGCCCGGTCGAATGTATCTGGACCACATGGCAAAGGCCCAGAAGATGCCTGACGGGGTCGCCGTCTGCCTGTCGAGTGCGTCGATCAAGTGGCTGCCGGACTGCGATTGCTGAATCTCAAACCCTTCCCAGAACAGATACGCCGAGAGCTGTGCATTAACCATGGCAACAGCGATTTTGTTCGCCCACGTGAAGCCTTCGTTTGTCCCTCCATTGCTGTACCACGTCTTGACAAACGGTGTGCTAGGGCCCCCTTCTGTGTTCCATTTTGGCAACGATGTCTGGCTGAGAGGCGAAGTAGCGTCTGAGCTGTAAGAATGAGACGTGATCACGCTTAAGTATTGAGTCGACCCGGCATTGACTAGGTTGGTTGTGTAAGTGCTCTGAGTCGTCCATCCAGTTGCGTCGCAGCATGTGAGTTTGGTGTTGAGGCCCGCTGCTTTCACCGTGCTGGAAAGGATCGGGATGAATGAGATGGCTTCCTGAGCGTTCGAGCTGATCTGCATCTGAGAGTACGTCGTCTGGTAATCTGGTTCGTTCAGGAATCCCAGATGCGTGATGTTGTAGCCTGCTGCTGCGTAGTATTTGACGTATTGCACTAGAAAGTTTGCATACGCTTGTCTCCAGTCACCCGAGGAACAAGAATGGCCAGTGGTGCCACAGAGATAACTGATCAAATACCAAACCTTGTCAGCTTTGGCGCGCTGTATATGACCCAAATGGAAGTGTAGTGATGCCTTCACTCACCCAGGGGATGAGTCCGAACCGCTGGTCTTCATGAAACCAGGTGCACCCCATGCATCGGCATAGATAGTCTTTACACCGTATGAGACGGCCTGCTGTGTGAACCATAATTGCCCACTGTCATTGTTATCCCACACGTAGTTCGGCGCCGCGGATGGAGAGCCGGGGTTGTTCGGTTCGATGCTGTCCCCTGCACCGCCCGATCCGATACGGTTGCGGATGATGCTGAAGCCGGCACCGGTGCTGGTACTGAACAGAAGATCGAGGGCTTGCTTCTGCGCAGTGGCATTGGCGCTTTGAAATTCTCTGGCTCTTCCAAATGCTTGCGAAAAGCCGAAGCCATCGATTTGTTGAAATTTACTGCCAACATTGACGGTGATGGTGGTTTGGGCTACGGATAAGGTAGCAGCACCAGCGATAATGACAAAAGGTACGAGTGCGATCATTTTCTTCTTCTTCACGTCACATTCAGGAAGTGCTTTGACGAATAAGGAAAGCAGACAGCATTGTTCAGCCTACAAGTCTTGCGGGCATGAGACCGAATATATTGAGGAAACTACTTCTCCTGACTCAAGGCCTAGGCCCAGTATATCCCGCCATGCTACGCTGTCACAGAAAGGCGCACCCGAGGCTTCAAAAGCAGTTTAAAGTCCCACCAGAGCTCTTTGGGTGGCAGCGATGGTGAGCGAGAGCATTGGGCATGGAAGCGCTGTTGAGAAGCGTGGCATTTATCCAGCGTCGCATACGAGCTTTGCCACGTCAAACGGCTAAATTACAGTAATGAACTAGTTCTTCGCTTCCATTTACCCTTCAAATCAGTATTTGAACCGGATGTCTCTGAAGATGCTACAAGCAGGCGTGTTGTGGGCTTTACAAGCTATAACTCCGTAAGCCAATTTGCCATCTCGCGCGGGAAGGAAGGATCCAACCCATACAGATGAAAAGTCTCATGCTTGTGAAATGCATTCTCATGATATGAACCTGAGATGTCTAAGAGACGGCGTTGATTTGATGTTGGAGAGGATCACGTATAGCTCACAGAAGCAGACATATGTATACTTTGCAAATATCCAGATATATTACGCCTCCAATACTTTGGAACATGAAATGGTGGAGGTTACATTCTACCCAGCTCATGTCACATCATACCCCGGATTTATGCGCGGAACCGAACGCTCGTCTTCGAATTGGATTAACATCTCTTCGGCAGTTCTGGGTTAATACCAACGTACCACATAGCCGTAGAAGTCTTTGGATCTAACATACCTGATCATGAGCACTGTCTTGTTGTTTTATGTCCTTCAAGTGCATGTTGTACCTCAGTGTGCTCGTTGCAGTCCCTGGGCTGTACTATCAAACTGGGTGCTGCGTTCTCATCTTTCACCAAAAGATATCAAAATAGGTTTGATTACATGAGTATTTTGGTCTCCTTGAAAGGGAAAATACTGCTGTACAGTGATTTATGGGTAGTACTGTCCGATATAACTGGCTCGAGCAAGTATTGTTACACTACCTCAAGTTCGGTGAAGCGGTGGACCATGGCGATGACAGGTTACTACAAATTTGCCTGCGGGTTGGGGTCAACTGCGTGATCATGGGAGCGCCGTCTCCGAAAAGCTTGACTGTACGTTGTTTCTAACCATCCTTTCGAAGTTGACTCCAGGACTATTATTAGCTTTTGCCAAAGAATTGGCAAGTACAGCCTACTACTTTGAGATGTTGTTTGGCAGCGCAATAGCCATTTCGCTTGCCCACTCTCACTTTGGAGCTTCCACTGATATGACAACACCAAAAGGCTTCTCGAGGTGGAGGCTCGATCCAAAAGCGGTAGGAAACTGCCCAGACAAGTCACCAATAACCCTCGTAAACACCAATATAGGAAGACATTCCAATAGCCATACCCAAATCGAGCGGCTCTTGGGTTGCTTTGTAAACTAACAGGCTAGCATACAAAGATGCATAACCTTATTTAGCCGCATCTCTGAAGTCTAAACCCGGTCTGCCCGTGCAGGCGCGTCGATTCGAAGCAGAGGATGCCCCAGAACAGGCGCTGTCGTATCGTCAAAGCCGCAACTGACTCGTCCACGTGGTACCACAGGGCTTTCGTCAATCAGTATCACCCAAGTGCTCCGTCCGAATAGCCGATTACATTTAACCGTTCTCCGCTGCGGATGAAGTAACTACCGTTCTTCAACCAGCCCTATATTCGGACTTACGGATCATCGCTGAGAGTTGTAATGATTCTTGGCTCTCATGACCTCCCGTCAGGGGGGCAACTGGCTTGACAGATTGACCGTCTGCTGAAAGTACATGCTTGATGGATTGCCCATGAGACTGGGGATATGTTTGGCCGGACGAGCGGCTACAGAAAGCTATAAGAAGGAATAGAGCAGCGCTCATAGAAACTAGATGCTAGCACCTTAGCAAAGCCGAAGTCGATATTTCGTTGTTCAGAAGTAACAAGATGGCTTCCCGCTTCTTTGCTCTTCTCCTTTTAGCGATCCCAATCCAGGCCCAATCTCCAGTCTGGGGACAATGTTTGTGCCGTTCTTCCCTCGCAACATGTAGCATTGAAAACTGACTTGGGCTCCTAGGTGGTGGAATTGGTTGGTCTGGCCCAACAACTTGTGTTGGAGGTGCGACTTGTGTATCATATAACCCTTATTACTCGCAATGTATTCCCAGTACACAGGCTTCATCGAGCATAGCCTCTACAACGCTGGTCACATCATTTACGACCACCACTGCTACGAGGACTTCGGCATCAACGCCTCCAGCGAGCAGTACAGGTGCAGGCGGCGCAACATGCTCAGCACTGCCGGGCTCCATTACCCTGAGATCCAACGCAAAGCTCAACGATCTGTTTACAATGTTCAATGGAGATAAGGTCACCACGAAAGACAAATTCTCGTGCCGCCAGGCAGAGATGTCGGAGCTAATACAACGATATGAGCTCGGCACCCTGCCCGGACGACCAAGCACTCTCACAGCCTCATTCTCGGGCAATACGTTGACCATCAATTGCGGAGAGGCCGGAAAGTCAATTTCATTCACAGTCACGATCACTTATCCATCTTCCGGAACAGCACCATACCCTGCGATTATCGGCTATGGAGGCGGCAGTCTTCCAGCTCCCGCCGGGGTTGCCATGATCAACTTTAACAATGACAACATAGCAGCCCAAGTTAATACAGGCAGCCGCGGACAGGGCAAGTTCTACGATCTCTACGGGAGCTCGCACTCCGCGGGCGCCATGACCGCATGGGCCTGGGGAGTAAGCCGAGTCATTGATGCTCTTGAGCTTGTACCAGGCGCAAGAATAGACACCACCAAGATTGGCGTGACGGGGTGTTCACGAAATGGCAAAGGCGCAATGGTCGCAGGTGCTTTCGAGAAACGAATCGTTCTGACACTTCCCCAGGAGTCGGGCGCCGGTGGCTCTGCGTGCTGGAGGATTTCAGACTACTTAAAGTCCCAAGGAGCCAATATCCAGACCGCGTCTGAGATCATTGGCGAAGACCCCTGGTTCTCGACTACTTTCAACAGCTACGTCAACCAAGTGCCGGTGTTGCCGTTTGACCACCATTCGCTTGCTGCCTTGATAGCCCCGAGAGGATTATTCGTCATCGACAACAATATTGACTGGCTCGGCCCACAAAGCTGCTTTGGCTGTATGACAGCTGCTCACATGGCATGGCAAGCTTTGGGTGTCTCGGACCACATGGGCTATTCGCAGATTGGAGCTCACGCACACTGCGCGTTCCCATCAAACCAGCAATCGCAACTTACTGCCTTTGTTCAGAAATTCTTGCTGGGCCAGTCCACAAATACGGCGATTTTCCAAAGCGACTTTTCGGCCAATCAAAGCCAATGGATCGACTGGACAACCCCAACGCTGAGTTGAGTCTTACGGCCAGGGAAACGCGCATATTTGGCGATTGGCGGTTCCTGTATTATGACTTGGTAACCCAAGCCATACCAAGCTTAGCAGAGGGTGTTGAAAGGAAAGGTACATGAGTTCGTGCGCTTGCAATATTCGAGGCCTGGACAATCTGATGATATGATGATCTATCATTCCTTGTCCCTGTGACATCCGAGTACCATACGCTTGGTCAATACCTTCTCTTGTGATGTTACATCAGGCAAAACGGACAGGATCTGTATAAGCCGGGGCAAACGACAGGTTTGCACGATGGCGAGTGACGCTAAGCGGTGACTGGTGACGATGTACCAGGATCAATATTAGATGCCTATAGACATGTTCAAAATGGCATTCGCATCGTACGAACAGCCACCAATCGCACCGCGCAGTCAATTCCGCAGCTCCTCATTGCAAAAGCCCAATTACCATCATCGAAGAATGAAGCGTCGAGTCCGCGCCCACCCTAATAAAGCTCCTCGGCTTTGAGGAGACTGTTGTCTGACGAAAGAAATGTGGTACTGGCCCTTCGTCGCCATCTGCAGGTTGCGACGCGGTACCTTGGCTCCCAAGCTGCTATCGTAGTAGTTTGCGCCAACGTCCAAAATTTCGCCAGTGCCAGCGTTGCGGTATGCGGAGAAACTCGTTGAATGTAGAAGTACTCTGAAACCCTCTCAACTTCGATGCAAATGGTTCGAAGACCAAAGCAAGATGATAGCATCACAGTGATGCTATCAAACCCATGTATGGGTGCTCAAGCCATGCTGGGACATTGAGCTCAGACCTTGGGTTGGCGCTGAGAGATAGTCGGTAGGGAATATGTCGAGACGAGTTTGAACTACTCTGGAATCGCAAATACCAACCTGCCGTTTTGAGACTTTGCCTTGCTAAAGGCAACTGACCGACAAGGATATAATGAGCACTTTTTGGGTTTTCTTTTTTCCACCAATGCCCCCAACAGAAGAATGACATTCAACCAAAGAATGGTATAAGAGATACTGCATCGCAAGCGTATGTGGGCAGCTCACATGGGAGATGTAGTATCCAATAGCAAGTATCTGCATTGAATATTCCAGCACATATCACTACAACAAGCAAACACGGAACAGAGCATCAAATTGGCTATATTCGCGCTGGTTTGTGTATGTAGAGTTTGACCCCGAACTTGGCAGTTGTTGGAGCATGAACCTAGACCCAATTGTAATATTCACAAGTTCACATATCTATGCATCTCATTCATCTCATTCTAAAAAGCGTGAAGCGATCATCACTAGGATACCTATTGGTGGTAAAATGAAGGGGATGTGAAAACCCCAAAAGGTGGTCGGCAAGTAGCTAGTACAAAAACAGAAGCTGGTTGTTGCAGACAGTCCCAATAGTGTCGACTCTGCGACTGACCTTCGGGCCGGATCTGCTGCGAGGTAACATAGCATCAATCTCAGAGGATACATCATCACAGTGCCTAAGCATATATAATTGTGCCCATATCCCAGAAAGCCAGCGTGAGGACTTCATTGTACTCTAGAAAGTCTAAGCGCTTTGTCGCCTATCTTCCCAACCAGCGTTCCGTCCAGATCCCGCCATGGGTGTCATCAAATCTCTTGCACTTGTCCTCGCCTCCTTACAACTTGGCATCGCGACACAAACTTTCCAAAATGGTGGCACCACCGCTGGCTTCGATTACGTTCTGACCGAGAACCAAGGAAAGGTCCTTCAAGTGTCTGATATTACCTACAAAGGCAGCACCGCTCTCCTAATGCAGCAAACCTATACCCCTGGTTACACAGGCCGATACCACTCTGAAGTATATCACAATCAGGGCTACAAGCGCGGCGACGAGTTATTCTACGGCTTCATGTTCCGTTTATCTTCATCTTGGGAATTTGATCAGCAATCATACAATATTGCTCAGTTCATTGCTGATCGACCTGGAGCCGGGTGCGATGACGATGACTGGATGCCGTCGTCGCTCATCTGGCTAGAGGGCAACCAGCTCAACTCCAGAATCGTCAGCGGCAACTACCGCCAGCCTGATTGCAGTCGCTCTTTCACCGGCACGGGAAACATCGCAACTGTATCGGCGGGCGTGTGGCATAAAGTGATTATTCAAGCCAAATGGGCCAGCGATAGTTCAGGCTATTACAAGATGTGGTTTGATGGGAACAAGGTATACGAGCACTACAACATTGCCACAACAACCAACGACGACTATGTCTTTGCGTTCCGCGTGGGGCTCTACGCCAACGGCTGGCATGATGACAAGCATATGGTTGGCAGCCAGGGCTTCCGCCAGATTTGGTATGATGAGGTTGCCGTTGGTACTACTTTTGCAGATGTAGATCCTGATCAGTATGAATAATAAAGGGAATGTATATATAGTAGGCTATTCGATGGTGTCAAGACAACAGTTTTTTATCTATGTGTAGAATACACGATACCTCGATATCAGGGTATTACGAGATTAAGACCACGGCTCGACATGTTCCGATGTTCCTTGTTTTGCAAGCTTCTCGAGTAAGGTATGGAATATTTTCAAGCTCCCTCGTTATGTACATCCTTCCCCGGCCAACCTGCTTTGGACAACAACTCGTAAGCTCTGCCATCGCCATTGTCCTTTGATAGCATCATGCACTAGGATTCACAAATCTGAGGCCAGATGCAAATTGCTTGCACTATTTTACAAAGCACATGATGCCGAAAAGTTTAATACTTCCCCCAACCCCCTCGAACATCCAAGACTAGCACGGAATAATCACCTCCACGCTCTCGTGGATGTTGAGGCAGCACACAACAGGCTTCGATCAATCGGAAGCTTACCTATCCTCAAGGCAGACCGAGTCTATCAGCTGCCAATGTTTCAGCATATAAATACGTATAAATGCCCTATATGGGCATGTCTCATCATGCACTACCTTGGTCAGCATATAGGGTATGTTTTTCTTATCAAAGCAGTCTCCGTTGGGAAAGGTGCCTCGTCTTCCACTGTTACTTCAGTATAACGAAATTATTTCTCGTCGCGGGAGGGTCGGAGTTCACCTGATTCAGAATCAAAAGGCAGCCAAGCAATAAAGACCCTCGGAGTCTAAAGGATGAGCAACCCCCCCACATTGCATAGTGTTTCCCTCCAAAATACGAGCTTCACTTTCTTGGCGCGTTGAGATGGGGAAGCGAAGACGCTTCCCGCGGATTACTTAATTATTTGGCTTGGGCCAACCGTTCGCTTCTGGGATGAGCGCATATACATACTTTTGAATGTCACGAGACATCCATTGCTTCAGATGAGGCAAGAGTTCTGTATCGTAGTTTTTCTCTTCTAGACAGACGAGTTGGCGGGCACCTTGGCTCACGCCCTGTGCTGACGGTTTTGGACAGCCCGGTATCTATACGCCGGTCTTTGCGCCTGCGATACACCAATCCAGATTTATACAGCTCTTCGAACTGGTTCTTTGACTTGAATCAATCTGAGGCTTGATTGCAAATGCGTTGATTGATACGTCAGTTGGTACACCAAGATTGGTAATTCAATTCGGAACTCGGTCTTCGCGGAGTACCGACCTGTCCGTCTAAGCTATATCCGTTGGTAATACTCTGTATGGAAACGTGAAATATCTCAGCTCAGAAGTATAAAGTCTACCGAGACGTGGTAGTATGGCATGCGTTTACTTATTGACCAATTTTAATGACCACCAAACCTAGATCGCAATGACCATGATGATTGAGAGAGTCCTGGTAGTCGGAGCAACAGGCAACATTGGCATCGCGGCTGTCAAGGGCGCTCTGCGTTCTGGGCGCCAAGTGCTGGCAGTAGTCCGGAATCAAGCGTCAGCGGATAAGCTCTTCAAACATGTCGGGTCTTCGGAAGGCATCGATATCGTCGAAGCAAGCGTTGTCTCTGACACTGGGATCAAGACCGTCGTTCATCAGGTCAAGGCTGGAAAGCTACCACCTTTCCAGCATGTGTACACTTGCGGTTGGTTATCATCTCCCCGGACTAGCACCAGACTCCTGTCTTGCTAACAGAATTATTTTCAAATAGTCGGTGGAGAGTACACAGATGTCCCGCTCAAGGACATTACCACTGACAGGCTGCGCAAGAACATGAATATGTCCTTTGAGGCAAACTTCTGTATGATCAACTGCGTGCTTCGCACAATTACCCTTGCATGGTCCTTTATCTGACACTGTTTATCATAGTCGCTTACCGTGACACAATCGAGTATCTGCAGGAGCAGAACCACCCGAATAGTACGTGGACTATCTGTACGGGTTCACAGGGTGATGTGGCAACCTTTGCGCTCCCAGCCATGGGACAGGGCCCCCTGTTCTCCATGGCCACCGCAGCCGCCCGGGAGAACGAGAAAACCAATGTGCGGGTGAATGAGGTCTATCTCATGTTCCGCGTTGAGGTTGATGAGGCTGCTGCTGAGCACGGTGTATCAAGTAGCTCTGAGTTTGCCGCCGTATACGAGGAAATACTCGCCAACCCCGAGATTCGCGGTTCGCGGGTCCGCGTCGCCACACCTGCTGATATCAAGAATCTCAAATGGGCTAAGAAATTTTGACAGAAAGGATTGAACCTGGGGTTGAAGTGGGATCTGAGCCATGGAGCACTGCATGTCAGAGTTTCCTACAAGTCAATCATGCACGTTCAAGCGGGATATGGCACTTCACAGCAAAGGCAAAGAATTTCCGTATGGCTTTCGCGACCCAATAGATTCATCAATGTTTTTCTTGAGATGATTTCAATCAGTGAACAGTCTTCCACATGCCGTGGGCCATTCAATTGCTGTTGAGTGAATGCCTTGCCGTACTGGTAAAAAATTCTTCCAGGGCAGCGAGCTTTTACAACCATCTGCCCCTGGCAAGATATGTCAAAGCCCGCGATGAAAAGCCGATACTTCAACTACCAAATCACGAAGGAAGGGTGTTGTTCCAGATACTGCTCACGGTGACACGGCTCTCCCAGCCAGAGCTTTCTCCATGCACTCGATACCCAAGGGTCCTGCTCTGCCCCTGCCGCAGCCAAAAGCCGTTATCGTCAAACGTTACAATGGCGCCGGCGTCACTCGGGTCCAGCGCCAACCACGTGAAGGCACTCACACCTTTCTCGGCCGTGACGGTAAAGGCATCCCCGTCATGGCGAATGGTCAGGCCAGGGTCGATTAACTCGGCTTTGCTTAGGGGCGTGGCCGTGAAGTAATTGGAGTGCGAGTAGGTTTTCGTGCCCTGCGTGTTTGGTGACGTGCCAGTCGCGGTAATGTTGGCCATCAAGATCGCATTAGATGCCGGCAAACCGCCGCTGGTTGTCAGTTGGGTGATGTTTATCCTCGACAACACTGTGGAGTTGACCGGGCCGACGGTGAACTTCTGTGATTGAACGGACGCTTCAGGGTCACCAACGGGCTTCCCATCGTAGCCGATCCATTCCCAGCTTGCCTCGCCTGAGACATCACTCCAGAGGTCCGATACGGCAAATATCTCCAAGACGCCTGTGGTGACGTTGAATACCGGAGCAACGATAACCGGCTGGAATATGTCCTTGGTCGCGTAGAAGGTGACCTTCCAGCGACCATCATATTCCCTAGTTGACCAAGTTGGCGCCTGCCAAATATCGTTGAGCTGCCAGTACAGCGAGCCTAGCTGCCTCTGGGGCATTCCAGAACCGGCGCGGTAGTACTGAATCTTGGTGTGATAGAAGTCGGCCTGGAAGACCTGGGTGGAGTGGCACCAGGCGGCAAAGTTGGCCACAGTGTCGGTCTTTGCTGGTGTTGGGTACCACTGCTGGACGCCCCGTGTCATCTCGCCCATTCCTCTCAGAGGATCAGCCGTGTTGTTGGTAGTGAGGCTCCCAGGCGGGTAGTGATGGTTGCGCAAGACGGTCATGGTTGAATTGAAGAATAGCTGGTCTTCGGGAATAGCCTCACGCCAAGTCTCGAGGCTGGGCATGGAGGGGAAGCCAAACTCGTTTGCGAACCGGCCGACGACATACTTGTTGATGTCGAAAGCGTGAGACGGATCGTAGTCGTAAAAGTCGCTGTCTCCGTACAGGTATCCGGGCGTCGTGTTGTAAAGGCGATCGACAAAGGGGATGGGCAGACTGAAGTTCAATTCCAAGTAGCCATTATTGGTGCTACAAGGCATATAGCTGATGCTGTGCGAATTGCCATAGACGGTAGGCAGCAGTGTGTCGAGGAACAGCAGCAAGTACTCGCTCAAGTAGCGCTCATACTGGGATGGGGCCCGGGACTTGACGGCGGGCAGCTCATCCTTCTCCATCTCATTGCCTCCAGCCCAAAGCGCCAGAGACGGATGATGATTGGCCCTCCGCACCTGATAGACGGCCTCTTGCCGAACGTTCTCGAGGAAGGCCGGGTCAACAGGGTAAAGGGAGACGCTGAATTGAAACTCGCACCACAGCAGGATGCCCATCTCATCAGCAAGATCATACATGAAGTCGGGTGAGTACGCTCCACTAGACCACACGCGGAGCATGTTCTGGTTGGCATCCACCACATCAGTGAGGATCTCCCGGATATGCTCGAACGTGACACGAGGCCAGAACGGGTCTGGGGGCACGAAGTTGCTTCCTTTGGCGTAAAATACATGGCCGTTGACCTCAAAGTGGACTGTTGCTCTAGATTAGCCGAGGCCGCAGTTGAAGTGGATTGGGAGAAATATGAAAGCTGAGCCCTTACAGTTGCTACCGTTGATGATGCCCTGTGATAACTCCAACTCGCTGATGGGTTCCATGTTGAGCACAATGGTTCTGAAGCCCATTCGCTTATTGACAGACGCAATAGATTTGTTGTTGGATATGACTTCGACGGTCACATTGTAGAGCTTCTGTGCACCCAGGCCGCTCGGCCACCACAATTCGTACTGGGAAGGGTCAAGAGTTGCAAGTCCAGTGATCACGTCGCCGGCGTTCTCAACGTCGCTGAGGCTGCCGCTGCTCACCTCCTCCAGCGAATCCGAGTCCACAATCGTGTATCTGATCTGCGCCTCATCTGGAATAGTCCCAACAACATCTATGCTGGCGTTGAATATCCAGTCGGCAGCCTGATCTGGCGGTAAATTGTTCAATTGGCCCTTGCGGTAGAGGTCAAAGGCCGAGTTCTTCACATATACGGACCCTGGCCCGTCGAGCTGGACGAGATAGGCAGGCTGCCAAATGCCCACCGGAACGAAGGCTGGACCCCAATCCCTGCAAATCGAAGTTCGGATTGTCAGAACTACCTAGCACAACGTGATGAAGCGAGCAGATAAATCAACGTACCATCCAAAATCGGACTGTTCCTTGCGCACAAACCACCTGTTGGGGATTTCATAGACCTCATTGATGCCATCGGGCCATGTCTCTTGGCCGGGCTCTGCGGCTATGGCCGCCGAGATGTTGGGAGTGGCGCCGAATTTGACGGCAAGCTGGGGTTGAGGAGACGTGCATGATGCAAGAACCTCGGAGATGTCGAAGACCCACTGCCGGAACTGATTGTCGGCGTTTCCAATGTGCTGCCCGCAGAATTCGACAGCTGCGTAGGTGTCGAGGCCGTTGAAGACGAGGTAGCTGGCCAGATCCTCTGATGTTTGTCTGCGACCAGTCAGGTCCTGCACCTGCAGCAAGTCGTTGGCGATACCATGATCATACAGCCCTTTGATTTCGCTGGTATACGTCCAGTTACTGTTGCCGATCCAGCGGAGGTCAAAATCATTGAGCTCAATCAATCTGTTATCATCGCGTTGTTATTCAACTGGACAATCTCCGCACACCCCTCATGAGCGATCCACCATGACATACGGGTCGCTGATTATGTTTGCCTCGTAGAGGTCGACGTGGGCATGCGACGGCACCTTTCCAGCAACGGTTATGTTTTCATAATCTGGGCTCGTGAGCGTCCATTGCTGCTGAGATAGGTCGATGACATTATGTGCTGCTGCAGCGAGCTGGACAAACAGTGCCACGCCTACTCTCGTTTTCTTTCCAGGCAATATGAGCCCCATGATTGTCTTGTCAAAATCTCTCGGGTGAACAAATGGTTGTGATCGTTTGTTCTCAAGAGTTGGCACCGCTCAAGAAGCCTTTGCGCGTGCTGTTTCCCACGGAGAGACGGGCCGCATTTTCGGTCTTATAGCAACCCGAGGCGATGCTGTTTCGCGCAGAGGTATGACATCACAAAACACTCGCGTCGTTGATTACAGTTGCATTAAAAGTCAAGGACACTGAGAATTGGACTGGTGATCTGCTATTCCTACCCTGGGTTCTTCCGCTGCACACCTGGTCACTCGCTGTCCTGTTCTTGTGATCGGCGTAGCATAAGTACATTCGGGCCATAATGGGACCTAATATGAGCACGATACTTGCTTCGGGAATACTACAGGACGCGGCGAGCTTACCTTTAGCGAGTTATATAGTACAGTAGGTTCGAATAAACTGCATTGCCGGGGGAAGCGGCGAAAGAACCCTAGCGAATGGGTACATGTATCATAGCAAGTACACGCCCCGAGATGGCCTTCATCCTACCTAGGTATGTACAGGTGACCAGAAGCGAGATAAAGGCCGTATTCTGCCTTTTACAACGCCCTACGTCGAGTTGTGTGATGTGATGCTGTTTACAGGGATTGGCTGTTATGCAACAGTATGTATTTGCAGGTTTCGTGGAGATGCGGGGTGTTGCAGTTTGCGGCAGCTGGGGTGTTGCGGGGTCGCGGGGAAAAGCCGAAGTACTACTTGGTAGGTTTTCCATGTTCGGTGTTGTAACCTCGTGTTGTTGCTACAGACATCAAATGACCATCTCCAGCACCATTAATAAACATTGGTAGTCTTGGCAGCATCATGCATTAGATGCAATGAACCGTTGTAAGTTCAAACTAGAATGGTCTAAAGTCTCATCCATTTTACCTTTATGTCCTATGTTTGAGAGTGGGCATCCGGTTTTCTCGCAAAGAGCGCCTCTCATCTCACCGAAGACGACCCAAATGGGCCAGGGCTCACAAGGGATCGATTTGAGGGATGGTTGCGACGGCACTCTTAGGTTACAACACTGTTAGCCCAAAAAAATAATTTCGTCATCTTCTCATTATTGGGTTATTTCCTTCCCAATCTAGGAACTGTCGGGAGGGAGCCTTGCCGAGTCACATTGGTGAAAGAACTAAAAAGATCAATGACGGTCTATTTGGCAACTATTCTTCCTCGTAGATGAGCTGCTCACGAGTGATTACAATGAAGAGAATTATCAGATTGCAACAGAGTTCCATATTCGTTGTCAAAGCGATAGGTTGCCGTTGAATTAAACCCTTTTGGCGATTCGACAACAAGATGAAATTCCAGCTACTGGTTCGTTTCTAAGGCTGCGGAACGGCAAGAAGTACCACAGGGTTTGCATGCGTTGTCGAGAAATCGGGAAAGCGAAGGTTTACGCGCAGACAACAATCTTCTGAACCCAGCACTTGTAAAGTGAACCTCTAGACTAAGGTGCTCACTGATTGCTTTACACATCGCCCCTCTGTTTACCGTCGTAGCTGTAGGTAGGTAATATTTCTCAACTTCAGGTCGGCAAAAGTTGCATGCGCAAGAAGATGCCGCTAAAGGTGCAAGCTCCGGTGATGCCGTGACAATGATTGCTTGGAAATATCGCATTTGAGGACCTCTTTCAGCGCTCTTCGTCCCGTCTTCATTACTTCGCCTGGTCATTCTGTGGTCAGGCATGACCGGCATATCAAACTTGAAGTGCGAGATGGCAACAGATAGAGCTTCTTGACCCATGCATAAAAAAGTTACTTCGCATTAAGAATACCGACCGCGGGCGACACGTATGTATTGCGCAGCTGTTTCACTACGCAAATTCCGGAACTCGATGCAAACAAAGGAAAGTTCAACATTCTTCTCGCAGACGTGCTTCGGATCAATAAACCACGCGCTGGCCCTTTCTACACAGCATCACCTAACGGCACTAGAAAAAGCGGTACGACGGCCGCCGCATTGAATAATCCTGCAATCCAGAACTTTTTCCCAAGCGAATTGTACCCGTGCGGATGGCTTGGCGATGGCGAAAGGCGAACTCCCGGCTGGTACTTAAAGATCAAGGTGTAAAGAAGACCCCCAATGTTGCCGCCGGCGCCAACAATGCCGGCCACAGCGCCGATATTTTGGGGACGCAGGTGGCCATAGATGGAGTAACAGGCGCCGTTGGCTGCGAATCCCGTGATTGCAATGGCGACAATAAAGCCAATCACGCCGCCGATGGTAGCCTTGTCTTTGTCGATGTAGACTCCCAGGCCAATCATGACAATACCCTGAGATAAGGCGGTGGCCAGGAGCCAGTACATCTTGGCATGGAGCCCGAACCGAGCGTAGAGCAAGTCTGACACAATGCCCCCCAGCGGCCGAGCGAACAAGTTCATGAGACCGTAGGTGGACGCTGCATAGGCCGCATCCGTGATCGTGAAAGACTCGCTAGCAAACAGGGTGTTGATCAAACCAGGGAGCGCCGCGTCCATTGCGGTCTCCAGTCCAAACGTGAGAAGATAGCACAAAGCACACGACCAGACGCGGAGGTCGGCAAGGATCTTGAGCAGCGCCGTAAATGTTAGCGGCTCCGACTGTGCGGTATCCACTTCGACAACTGGGGATGGAGACGACTCCTTGCCGGACTCCGAGTCCGACCTCTTGGGATCGGCGCGTTCCGGAGCAGGTTCGTGTTCCGGATTCAAAAACATGTGCTCTGGCTGATGTCCCATTCCGCTATCCCTGACTTGGGCCTTGTCCTTGGCCAGGCAGCTGAGGCGGTGGCGCTGTGACCATTTGCCGTATGGATGGTCTCTTCCAAATAACAGAATTATGACGGCAACGAGCAATAGGCATGGCACAGGAACCGTAACAAAGCAAAGACGCCAGGCGAGATGAGGGCTGTATCCAGCTTTGATGTATCGCTGGTACAAGCCGATCATCACAGCGACAGTCACTCCACCACCCAGATTGCCCCAACCACCGGAAAAGGCATTGGCGGTGCCAACGATGGACTTGTCGAAGAAGGTGGTGGTATAGGCTTGGGTTGGAACGAATGTGCCCCCAAGAATGGAGATGAAGAACCGCACTGCCTCCAGCCCTTGAATATTGGTAACCAGTGCCGCCAAGCCAGACGGGATGGCGCCGAGGACGAGGAGGGCGGCCAGGACTTTCCGAGGGCCGAACTTATCGCAGGCGGGACCAGCAATCAGACGCACAATAACCGTGCCGCCGAGAGAAGCTAAGTTGGAATTGGTGACTTGGTCTGGGGTAAGGTTGAGATCCGCTTTTACCGCCTCGGGCACGAGGGGGGAGAACGCAAACCAGGAGAAGAAAGCCACGAAAAATCCTAGCGTCGCAAGCCAAAATGCTGTGGAGTAGATATCATCCCATATGCGAAATAGCGGAAAGGTGAAGCTTTTCCCATTAAGAGGGTTGACTTCGGCTCGCCGCCATAGAGAAGACATGCGAAATGCGGAGTTGCGTTCTGTCGCGTCATTTTCACTCGCTCGTCTAGCGTGACGAACGTCTTGCCGGATAAAGTATGTAGTCTGATGTGATCCACTACTGATGGACGGTGATTCGCTGGCAACAATCTCCTTTGAGATCTCAACTGATGTGGCTCCCTGCTCTCCGGATGTGGGTGGTCGAGAGGTATTGCCTTCCTCTTCTGCTACGGAAGTCCGATCCATTATTGTTTTGCTGCTATGACCGGCTAGTATGAAAGGCTGGAGATTCTAGCCAATGAATATACCGAGCGTATGAGCGGCTAATGTCAAGCAGGTATGTATAACGAGTTGTCGATGTTCTTGCTCCAAGCCAACCTATAACATAGAGTACGTCAACGTAGTTACCTCAAAGCTGAATAGTGAAAGAACCCACGCTTTACAGAGAACCTCGATAATATTGATCAAGAATTTGAAAATGGAGTTTACGTAACATAGGTAGTGACGACTGTGAAAGATTCCTCTAGGAGGTGCATGACTTTGCGACAAGTATATCAACCTTCGGTTTGCTTCCGAGGTAGACTATATACACAGGATGGTCCATGATACTCGTACATAGAATTCACGTTCGAATATTGTGCTGCTGTTGTCCAAGGCACAGAGACGAGACACGCATGAGGGACAGATAAGACTAGAGCACAGTTCATTCGAGCTTATCGCTGGGGCTTAATACGTAGAGAACTGCAACCGGAGATGCAAAATCCAAACTCAAGAGGTCGAGAGCACCGGTTTGAGGTGTGAAATCAGTGACATTATGACATTCCTATCAGGACCGTACAATATCCGTTTTAGCACGTAACGTGGCTGCGTAATCTCTGTTTAACCCCTAGATGAGATACTCCGCACATAACGGAGACATGTTCTGCAGCCATTTTCGGGGGGAGACCAAAGGAAAAGAGCCTAGAAAAGGGACAGACTACGACGTAGACGTGGCAGGATTACTGATAAGACGGGGTGATATAATAGGCCAGCCAAGAGACGTCATAAAAGAATGATCCCGGATCGTCGTAGAGCTAAGTCGTGGGTAGTAAAAATAAACTGTTAGTACCGATAGGTGAGCTTGAATTGAGCGAACTGGAGATAAGGAGAGCCTGGGCTTCAAGAAGAGTAAGTGGTGCGAATGAATGTCACTAGCGGTTGGCTGGCATGTGTTCCGAGGGCGTGAGCGCGTAAGCTGGTCATCAATGGTGACTATGGACAGTATTTTTGTCAATTGAAGCTATAGCAGGACGCACTGAACTAACAGTACCGATTTGAGCATTCCGGTATACTACATGCACTCGGTGGTCTAATGACAGCGACTACTACAAGACGAAGAGAGAATGATAGAGATAGCATATTGCAACACCATCTAACATGTTTACCACTCAAGCGCATTTCCGCCGCCGCCACAGGGTTGAAAGGCAGCGGTATGTGACAACTGAGATCTCATCTTCCCAGGAACCCTAGGCTCTGCGATCTCGATTGATGGCTCAGCATCCTTGACCAAGAACTTCACTTCTCCGTCTGCCTTTCGCAGCATCCATCTGGCTGTCGAAAGGACAGCATCCAGTGCTTCTGTAGGAGGAAGATAGATGAGTATCGCATCATTCTGCTCATCTGCCTTGGCCTCGAATGTCATGATGGAATAGTTCGTATCCGAGCAGCTTCCACCTCCCCCCGTCCCCCCTTTGGACTCGAGCAGGTAGTTTCTCTTGTGCAGTGGACATGATACGTATTCCCGTCCATGCTCATCTTCACCTATCAAGCCGTCTGCCAGCACAAATGCCTTTTTGTGCGGGCACATGTTCTGTGAAGCGCGCAAGCCACGGCCCGGGATATTCCACACAGCCAGCTGAACTTCGCCATACTTGACAGTGACCGATGTCGGTGCGTCAATCTGACGGTTCAACTCAGAAAGCTTGCAGACAATCTGCCAATCCCACTTTGCATCCTTTGCGATATTCTGCAAGCTGAAGTGCAGAGGGGAGATATCCTCGGGCCAGTCCACGGGACGTTTCTGGGCGCGCTTTGTGACTTGCTCGGATACCACCTGCGTCTCATCCGTATTGGCAAATTGTCTGAAAGCCTTGCGGCGCTCCTGACTACTGACCACGTTGGTCCACTCGCAGTGATACGAGCCAACGAGTGCCTCCATCTCTTTTTCCAGGTCCGCGCATATGCCAAGCTTGTCGTCAACGATGACCTCCTTGATGCCCCTGAGGCCGCCGGGGTATTTCTCAATCCAGCGAGCGGTTCTTTCGAGTTTGTCTGCTGACTGAATGTAAAATATGAGAAAGCGATCGAGAATTCTCATTGCTTCACGTCTAGTCACGTCCTCGACAAGTAGTTCAGCGTGGCGAGGTTTTGCGCCGCCGTTTCCGCCCACAAACACATTCCAACCTTTGGGGGTGGCAATGAGACCAAAGTCTTTGCCCTGTGCTTCTGCACATTCCCTCACACAACCAGATACACCGCCCTTGAACTTGTGGGGAGCACGCAAGCCCTTGTAGCGATTCTCCAGTTCAACGGCGAGACCAACTGAATCGCCTACGCCGTAACGGCACCAAGTGTTGCCGACACAAGACTTGACTGTTCGCAGCGCTTTGCCATAAGCATGGCCGCTCTCAAAGCCAGCATTGATGAGCAGCTCCCAAATTTGCGGGAGGTCCTGCTTCTTTGCACCAAACATGTCGATACGCTGGCCGCCAGTGATCTTGGTGTAGAGTCCGAACCTGTCTGCGACCTCTCCAATGACCTTGAGCCCCTTTGGTGTGATTTCGCCTGCAGGTAGTCGCGGAACAACTGAATAAGTCCCGTCTCGCTGCACATTGGCGAGATAACGATCGTTTGTATCTTGCGTCTGGCGCATGGAGGGCTTCATGATGTTTTCGTTGTACAAAGAACTCAGAATCGACCCGATGGCTGGTCTGCAAACTTCGCAGCCGAGACCATCAGGCCTCTTGCCGACAGCGCGCATCATTGTTGTAAAGTCCTTGAGCTTTCTGAACTTGGCAATCTGGTAAAGATCCTGGCGTGAATAGGCAAAATCCTTGCAGATGTGGTTGGAGATCTCAACGCCGGCGTCCTGAAGTGCGCGGTTGAAGATGCTAGTAGCCAATGGCACGCAGCCTCCGCAACCCATGCCACACTTTGTTGAGGATTTCATCTCCCCAAAGGAACGAACACCACCAGTCTTTACACACTCCACGATATTGCCTTTACTGACGTTATGGCAGCTGCATACTTGGGCATCAAGAGGTAAGTCGTCTCCTTCCTCCTCTCCATCTCTTGCTGCTCCGATAATAAACTCAGATGGGGGCTTCTCAATGGGTTTGCCCATATTGCAGAGGGCCACGAGCTTCACGTAGTCTTTGACGTCGCCAACCATCATTCCCCCCAAGATGTACTTGCCATCTGCCGTAAAGATGTACTTCTTGTACACGTCCGAAAATGGGTCCCGGTAAGTGAGTGCCTTGACCTTCTTCTTGATATCCTCCGGCGTTAAAGACGTTGCCTGAGCCTTCCTGGCCGCATGGGAACTGGTCAGGCCTGGCAGTGGTTTGCTCATCTTCCCCTGATCCGCAAAGAAGTCACCAAAGGAGGCGACATCGACGCCCATTAATTTGAGTTTCGTGCTGATATCGGGAGGCTGCATCTCTCTCCTGCTGTGGTTGGGACCTTCTGTCAAATTGAAGGCGAGTACGTCGGCCATTTCGATCCCAGGAGCTATAAGACCAAATGTTTCTCCGAGGAAGCTGGCACATTCTCCAATAGCGTAGATATGAGGCAAGTTTGTGCGAAGCTGGTTGTCGACGATGAAACCTCCGCTTGGCCTGGCCACACTGATAGGGGTAGTCTTGGAGAGATCATCTCGGGGCTTGATTCCAACAGCAAACACGAGAAGGTCGATGTCGAATTCCTGGTCTGGCAGTCCATCCTTTCCCTCCAGAAGCAACCCAGTGAGCCGCTTCTCGTCGTTCCACACAAGATCTCGGACTCGGGCCTGTAGCAGAACTTCAACGCCCAGGGCCCTCACCTTTTCCAGGACCAACGTGCCGCCCTCTTGATCAAGTTGGCGGCTGAGTACCCATCGATTTCGCTCCACAAGAACAACTTGGTCAACTTCTTCGAGATCCAGTAGAGCCTTGGCTGCCTCCAAGCCGAGAAGCCCGCCACCGATAACAGCTGCCTTGCGAATGCGATGTCCAATGTAGCTTGGGGCATTGGTGGCATAATCGATAATATTGTCAAGGTCCTTTATCCTTCTGTATACAAAGCAACCCCTAGTGCTTCGAAACTGCTCGGAGGACATGTAAGGTGGCAAGGCAGCATCGGAACCGGTGGCGAGGACGCACTCGTCGTAGTGGAAGACTCGTCCATTGGCTGTGTTGAGCAGTTTGGCTTGCGCATCTATGTAAATGACAAGATCGGACGTATGATATGTAAGTTTTCTCTCCGAGTGTGACGAGTACCATTCCGGCGGGCTGAGATACAGATGCTGAATGGAACGATTCGTAAAGTACTGTGTAAGACCGACACGGTTGTATGCGATATACGGCTCCTCTCCAAAAACAGTCACCTCCCACTCATCACGACCGCTTTCCATGTCGTATCTGAGAAGCTTCTCAATAAAAGAAATGCCAACCATGCCAAGGCCAACAACAGCGACCCGCTTCCTGGATCGGGGCTGGCAGTCCTCTGTCTCTTGGTGCATGTTATCAGCGGGCCCAACCATGTGGTGCTTTGTTTCTGTAGGCAATTGGGAACATGGGAATTTTCACGAAGCCAAGGGTCAGATCTTTCTCAATTGCCGACTTTTAACAAGAGGCATAAGAACACAAAGTTCAAGATGCAGGATGCACCACTGTAGGGTGGGGGACACAGAGGTAACAACGAATGCTCCGAGGACTTGCGTAGGACAGATTCAAGCATGTCGGTTCTGAGGGCATGGAACGGCATCTTTGCGTCTCCGAGCTCCTCGGAAAAACCACAAAGTAGAGTTCTGCTGCCATATCCACCACTTGAAGGACATGTGTTGGGCTGGATATATGATACGGGATGCGTGTACGATCAATGCCGATACACACGATTAGCGATAGTCACACAAAAACCATTACAGTGCGTAAGAGGTATAAGCAGACTCCAAAGATAGTCCAGCCTCTCAGCCATACGATGAGGCTCTACTGTTATCTCTTTCCTTGGCCATATCACAACATACACTTACTTATCTAGGTACGCATGTATCGTTTGGTGAGATTCATTAAAACCGTGGCATATTCATGGGAACCATAAGCGCAGCCGCTGATCCGCGGAGAAGCATAATTGAGATAGCGATTTAGACAGAGAGCACAAGTATCAGGTGTGCCTGTGCGCGATCCCGGCAGACACTGAGAATCTCTACTGCTTTATCAGACCAGGTCGTTTATACGATAAAGGCGAAGGAGACGCTCAGCGAATAAGCAAGCAATTTGCTCAAACGTTATCGGTGAACGTCCATTGGTCCTGGGGTGGCCAGGGTATGGTCGCGGAAATTCCGGGGGACGTTAGCCGCGATCTTGCACCGGATGGATAATGCAGCGAATCGCGTGTTATAGATCTGTCAAGTGAACGGAAACAGTACTTGCGATTCTATTGTGAGCCTTGTTCACTCGTATGACCGTGCAGCGGGATATAGTTAATGCAAGAACCAAGCTTACTAGTAGTAGCATTTGATGTTGTATGGAATGGCATGTTATGGCATTTCCGGCCGTGGAAGATCGTCGCTGAGCCCCGAGTGCTTCCTTTGGCTCAAGCCGCCTTCTCAGAATTAGAGCCAGACCTCCCAAAACCTGATAAAAGAGATTTGGTGAACACTCTTCATGGACACTTAAACAAACTTTGCTCACGACAAGCAGTCGCCGTTTCATTTCCCATCTCTGTATATCTTTTGTTGGCCTTGTCTGCGAAAGCCATTCGTCATGGCAACAAGCCAGCTGGATTCAGATTCTCATTTCGAGAGCGGCGAGGATTGGTCATCTTCGGGTTCATCGTCGCCTGGACTGTCTCCCGGATCGTCGCCTTTACCAACACCATGGTCTTGTCCACATCTGGCGGCCACAAAACAGATGGATCTGTTGGATGATGCTTCCAGGTCGGGCTTTACTTCACTCCCGCCTCTTCCAAAAACTGAGCATATGCAGCCATTGGCGTCCGACGCTCAGACACCGGATCATTGGATACCGCGAGATGGCCGGATGATTCGACTCACGGGAAAACATCCATGCAATGTCGAGGCCCCCTTGTCCGCGCTGTTCAACGCCGGATTTCTTACACCCCAAAATCTCTTCTATGTTCGCAGCCATGGAGATACACCAAGGTTCAGCGCGAAACAAGCGCATGAATGGAAGCTCCGAGTTCACGGACTTGTGGAAAACGAGGTCGAATTCTCGATCCAGGAGCTGAAGGCGAAGTTCCCCGTTGTCACGCTTCCTGTCACTCTCGTCTGCGCTGGCAACCGTCGAAAGGAACAGAATATGGTCGTCAAGGGCCTCGGATTCAATTGGGGTGCAGCTGGTGTATCAACCGGTCTATTTACCGGCGTCTACCTAGCTGACGTGCTCAAATACTGCAAGCCCAAGAATCCCCTTCTATCCGCATACCCTAATTATGACGGACCAATTCCTGGGCGCGCGCGCCATGTTGTCTTTGAAGGTGCGGATGAATTGCCCAAGGGGAAGTACGGTACATCGCAGAGGCTCAGCTGGGCACTAGATCGCAGCAAGGGCATGATTATATCTTGGGGTCTCAATGGCGAGGATCTTTCTCCCGATCACGGTTATCCTCTGCGCTTGGTTGTGCCGGGCCAGATCGGTGGTCGTATGGTAAAATGGCTTCAGCGGATCGAAGTCTCGGACTGCGAGAGTCAGCATTACTTGCACTACTTCGACAACAAGCTTTTGCCCACCACGGTAACGGCCGATCAGGCAAGGAACGAAGACAGGTGGTGGCACGATCCCAAGTACATCATCAATGAGCTCAATGTGAACGCAGCAATCTGCTCGCCTGCTCACGAAGCTATTCTTGAGCTGAACTCTCATACACCTACCTCACAGAAGGTCGCCATTGAAGGATACGCCTACACTGGTGGTGGACGGCGTATAACACGGGTTGAGATAACTCTTGACGATGGAGAGACTTGGAAAATCTGTGATGTAAGATACCCAGAAGATCTTTACCGGATGTATCCGATCCACAACCACCCCTACTTTGGCAGCATCGACCTTAGCACGACGGACATGAGCTTTTCTTGGTGTTTCTGGAAGGTGGATATCGATGTCAAGTCGCTGCTTGGAGATTGTGACGCCGGGTTCGTTGCGGTGCGTGCAATGGATGAAGCTCTGAGCATCATGCCACGAGACATGTACTGGAACGCTACTTCGATGATGAACTCTTGGTGGTTTCGCGTCGCTATCTACAGGGAAAACAGTGGAAAGGCTCTCCGATTCGAACATCCAACTGTGCCAGGAAATGCAAGCGGCGGCTGGATGCAGCGACTCGTTGAAGACGGAGCGGATCCGAGATATCCCAGACTTGGAGGGAACAGTGCTTCATCCGGACTGACCTCCCTGGATACACATCGTCCTCATGAAAGTCTAGCAGGCGATAGTTACCACAGCATTATGATCAATCCAGACAAGGCAGCAACGATAGTCACACTATCTCAGCTTGTGGAACATGCCAACGGGGAGAGCCCGTCTCCGTGGTTCATAGTCGAAGGACATGTATACGATGCAACAGCCTTCCTTTCATCGCACCCTGGAGGGGAGCAGTCCATCCGTCTGGCTGCCGGTGAAGATGTCACCGAAGATTTCATGGCTATCCATTCCATGGATGCTAAGAGAATGTTGCGAGACTACCACATAGGATCGCTGGAACAACCCGCAACACCATCGACAGCTCCAATGCCAAAATACGATACCCTGAATGACACATCAAAGCCTTTTCTTGAGCCGAAAGTATGGAAGAAAGTCCGACTCGTGCACAAGAGAAGGGTCTCCTACGATTCACGAATCTTCCGTCTCGCTCTGCCTGATGAACATCAGCCTCTTGGTTTGCCAGTAGGACAGCACATTTACTTGCGAATAAGAAGAGTCGACGAAGCAAGTGGCAAAGTCCAGATTGTGCAGCGAGCATATACTCCGTATAGCTGCAACACACAGCGTGGATTTATCGATCTTCTGGTCAAAGTGTATTTCCCATCAGGCAAGCCATTACAGGGCAGTGCAGCTTTTGCAGGAGGTCAGATGACCATGCTATTAGAAAACATGACAATCGAACGGAATCAAATGACGCTAGAGGTCAAGGGGCCAATTGGTGAGTTCACCTACGTCGGTAACGGTCAGATCCGGTGGAAGCCAAATCACGGACAACGCATCGTCAAAAGGTTAGCCATGATCGCTGGTGGCAGTGGTATAACCCCGATATGGTCAACATTGAAGGCTATTGCAGACGAATGTTCGACTTCCTTACTGAGCCATAACAATTCGGTCGAAGTATGGCTTATCTATGGAAACAGAAAAGAGAGTGATATACTCATTCGCGAGGAGCTTGACCATCTCTCGCGTCGTATGGACGGAAATCTGCACATCTGGTATGTTTTGAGTTCCGATGAACTCAATGCAGGCTGGAGGATGGGGCGCGGACACATTGACTTGGAGTGTCTCCAACAACACCTTCCACCAGCGCCGTCTACCACAACTGGCGCGGAATTAGGGGATACGCTGGCAATGGTGTGTGGCCCTCCGGCTATGGAAGCAAGCGTCTCTGCTGAACTGCAAAAGCTCGGATGGAGGGTGGAGCAAGATATTGTCTTTTTCTAGGTAGTCCGAGATTAATAAGGCGTAAGTCATACGAAACTCAAGAAAGTCACACACGATGAAGCGCAATCGTACTTGGGTCAGTTAGAGTGGTATCGATCGTGTTTTTACCGGGTGAACACACTCAATTTCGACCTGAGGCATTATCGCCTGCTGGTTTAAGAAAATTTTGTCACTGCAGATGTGATTGAATGGTGCACGCAAAGTCACGAGAATGTCACAGCGTCTTCACGTGTCCCAGAGCGCTGGATCTACACAAGGGTAGCCCAGTCAAGAGCATTCAGATGTCTGTGTTCTGCAGAAAGCGGCGTGATAGACTTGGGGCCCAGGGGGATTCGAAGAATGTTCCGCGCCCTGTGAGCTTCCTGGATTTCCGGAGATTGTATTTGGTTGCATCTACGACGTGAGCTAGTCTGAGGGAGGCAAGTACAAGTCGTTCGATGTGGAAAATCAGCTCCCGTAAGCGCAGGTGACAATCTCTATTGAATGCACGCACGGAATGGTTCCCAGACGCACACGGGCGGTTTCTAAACGCACACAGACAGTCCATAGCCTGCGATATTGGAGAAAGGTGGCGACCTGCTGCGACATAATCCAACCCGATTGAACTCCTTCTTTCCTCTGACTTTTCTTTCCTTGCAGATGTTGCCTTGACACCAGTCTCCTTCCGAACGTCACAACGCCATTCTGCAAAGGTTTCCTCCCCGTTTCTGCTCTGCGATTAATTTGAAGAGATGCGATCACTGAATTGCTACATATCTAACAAGACGCTGGGGGATTTGAAGTGAGTTTAGATTATGGTAAGCTGCTGGTAAGTAACAAAGGCAGCATTCTCTGTCCTAAGCTCTGAACTTATGTAGAGTCGGCGGCACTTGGAAGACAACCACTACGGGAATATATCCGGAAGGGAAACGGTTTCAAGCCAAAGGATCACACACGGCGTTATGAAGCTGAGGACTTCCATTCCCCTCTAAGCCGAGATTGTCTGTTATGAGGAGTGTGAGCCAGTCCAACGCAGATCCTAACCTGAAATACGGACGGGACGTGTTTCGACCCAACCGAGTTTCTCTAATAGGAAGCTGGTGGTATTGTTGCAGTCCGGCCAACTGCTTCAACCAAACTTTCGATGAATATATAATACGCAATGGTTCTGCTTCTCAAGTCCAGATTTCCTCCATCAACCCAATCCAGCAATCCACTCCTTTACACCACATTCTCTTCTATTCAACTTGATCCAAAGTCCTGGCGACTTGATCAGAATTCACTTTTTTTTTCCATTTGTCGACTTATATCTCAGCTTCTTCAGCAACCAAGTACCACCCCAAATAAACCGTCAAAATGGTTAGCAAGGCTATTGTCGCTTCTCTTCTCTTTGGCGCTGCTATCGCTGTGCCTACCAGCAGCAGCAAGAACTCTGTGCCCAAGGCCGTTTCCAAGCGAGCCGTCGGCGAGATCGTCACCAGCACTCTCGCCCGCTTCGACAACTCCAACGGTGCCGACGGCGTGGGCGCTGGTGCCGACTCCTACACTCTCTTTCTGGGCGATGGCAGCGTTAGCGCTGGCTGGCCGGACCAGAGCAGCTGGGTCTCCTTCGACGACATGTTCGCCGCAAACAAGGCCACCATGCTCTCTTCTTGCACCAACCTGGGAGGTGAAGCCAACACCAGCGAGGATGAGGTTCAGGCCATCCACGACGGTATCCAGGCCGCCGCTGCAGCCAGTGGTGTGGACCACCGTTTCATCCTTGCTATCCTCATGCAGGAGTCCAAGGGTTGCGTTCGTGTTCAGACTACCAACTTTGGCGTTCGAAACCCGGGTCTTCTGCAGGATCATGACGGTCTTGCCACCTGCAACGAGGGAGGTGTTGTCCAAAATCCTTGCCCATCTGCCACTATTGCGCAGATGATCCTGGAAGGCGTTGCAGGAACTCCTACTGGTGACGGTCTGGCCAACACCATTAACCAAGCTGGCAATACTGATGTCTCGGCTTTCTACCGTGGAGCCCGGATCTACAACTCGGGTTCAGTCTCCAGCACTGGCAACCTCGAGAGCAACATTGCTACCCACTGCTATGCCAGTGATGTTGCAAACAGGTTAACTGGTTGGGTTAACTCTCCTAGTGCCTGTACTTGCGATTCTGATCCTACAAGCTGTGGCGTTGTCTTGAACTGAATGTTAGGTACAGTCCTGGCAAGACGTAGTATACTTTGCAAACTGCTGGATAGTTTCTTTAAGTATATAAAGGTGCTTAAAGCTTGGATTTATATATACTAAGGCTTTTAGGTTATTAAGAGATTATAGGATTAGTTTTTAATAAAGGCTGTGCTTTTTATTATTTTATTTATAATTTATTATAGTAATAGTTTATAAGTAAAAAAAGTAAAGTAAAAAGTAAAGTAAAAAGTAAAGTAAAAAGTAAAGTAAAAAGTAAAGTAAAAAGTAAAGTAAAAAGTAAAGTAAAAAGTAAAGTAAAAAGTAAAGTAAAAAGTTAAGTAAATAAAAAAAGTAAATAAAAAAAGTAAATACTAAAAGTAAATAATAAAAGTAAATAATAAAAGTAAATAATAAAAGTAAATAATAAAAGTAAAATATAAATTAAAAAATAAAGTAAAAAATAAAGTAAAATAATAAATAAAAAATAAAGTAAAAAATATAATAAAAATAAAATAAAAAGTAAAATAAATAATAAAGTAAAAAATAATATAAAAATTTTAATAAAAAATAAAGTAAAAAATAAAATAAAAATAAAATAAAAAATAAAAAAAAAATAAAAATAAAAAATAAATAAAAAAAAAAGTATATTAAAAAGTAAAGTAAAAAATAAATTAAAAAATAAAATATAATATAAAATAAAATATAAAATAAAATAAAAAGTAAAATATAATAAAAATAAAAAATTTAATTAAGTAATTAGTAATAATATTAAGTAATTATATTTTATTTTTAAAATAAAAGTTAAAGTAAATTATATTTTACTTATAAAATAAAGGTTAAAATAAAAAAAGAAAATTTTTTTTTTAAATCTTAAATTAAAATAAATTTAAAAAATATAATAAAATCTATTAAAAAATCTATATTTTAAAACTTCTTTTTAATTTTTAATAGTATTTTTTTAAAATAAATTATAAAATATTTAAAACTCTTATATTAAAACACTTTTAACTTAGTATTATATAACTTAAAAAAATATATTTTAAGTATAATATAAACTAGAAATTTACTAAGCTTAAATAAAAAAGCCTTATTTAATAAAAAATACCTTTTTAATTAGTTTAGCTTAGTTTTTTAATTAATAAAAATTAAGCTATATTACTAACCTTTTTTATTTCTTTTTACTTTTAGCTAAGTTATTATATAATATTTACTTTTATATTTTACTTTTACTTTTTACTTTTATTAATACTACTTAAGCTTAAGTAGCTTATTATAAGGTAAAAACTAGTCTTATAGGTTTAGGTTAAAAATTCTTTACTTAAATAAAGATTTCTCGCCTGCCTTAAATTCTTTACCTAAATAAAAATATCTAGCCTAACTTACCCACTTTAAATTCTTTACCTAAATAAAAATTTCTTACCTAACTTAAATTCTTTACCTAAATAAAGATTTCTTACTAAACTTAAATTCTTTACCTAAATAAAGATATCTAGCCTAACTTACCTGCCTTAAATTCTTTACTTAAATAAAGATTTCTTGCCTAACCTAGATTCTTTACTTAAATAAAAATTTCTTACTAAACCTAAATTCTTTACTTAAATAAAGATTTCTTACCTAACTTAAATTCTTTACCTAAATAAAGATTTCTTATTAAACTTAAATTCTTTATTTAAATAAAGATATTTAGCCTAACTTACCTGCCTTAAATTCTTTACTTAAATAAAAATTTCTTACCTAACTTAAATTCTTTACTTAAATAAAGATTTCTTATAAAACTTAAATTCTTTACTTAAATAAAGATTTCTTACCTAACTTAAATTCTTTACTTAAATAAAGATTTCTTACTAAATTTAAATTCTTTACTTAAATAAAAATATCTAGCCTAACTTACTTACTTTAAATTCTTTACCTAAATAAAGATTTCTTACTTAACCTAAATTCTTTACCTAAATAAAAATTTCTTATTAAACTTAAATTCTTTACTTAAATAAAAATATCTAGCTAAATATTATAACCTAGCCTTATAGTTATAATAATAGGCTACCTTTAGTAAGCAGCACTAGATAAATATTAAACTATTTAGCTAATTAGGAGCTACTTAATAAAATTAACTATTAAGTATATTAAGGATAACTTAATAAATTTAATAATTAAGTATATTAAGGATATTAAAATAACTAGATATATAAGTTATATTTATATTACTTATTTAAATAGTTTAAATAGCTAGTTATTATTACACTTAATAATATTTATAATATAAATAAATTAAAACCTAGATATTTACTATATAAGTATATTAACTAGCTATATAACTATATATGCCTTAAGTACTAACTTAACTCTCTACTAGTATAAACCTAAATAGCTCTTTTATTAAAGCTATTTACTTAAATAGTTTATTTTTTAAAAATAGTGTTTTTACTAAATATAAGAACTTAGTTTATTATATAATAATAACTCTTATTTAGGAAGTTACCTTAGACTTTTAAGGCAATATTAATTAAGGAAGTGTTATTTTAAAATAAAAATAAGTAACTGTAATAGGTTAATATAGTAACTTTAGGAAATATAAAACTTAATAATACTGCTTAAAATATAGTAAAAAATATAGTATTTTAATAACTTATAACTCTTAAAAACTTAGTTTAATAATTAACTTAAGAATAAGCTTAATAGCAGAATATAATTACAGCCCTAGAAGCTTAACTAAATTAATAAGCACTACTAGTTATTAATATACTAGCTTTATACTAAGAAAAATAACCTAAAGAAATTATTAAGCTACTAATGCTAGCTATATATAATAAAGATATAAGAAAGACTAAAGTATTTCTTATAAATATAAAAATATACTTTA